AAATCAGAAAAAAATCACTAGTATTTAGGCTCCAAAGTAATAAATAATACAGGACTATCAAAACATTAATATACATTGGAAAGAAATAGTGCAAGCTTAGGTATCATTATATTCTATCAATCCATTTGTTCTATATGGTTAACGTCAAGAAAAAGCTGTGGTGTACATTGACACCTCACTGAAAAGAAAGTCTCATTTACTGCAATGAATATGGAAAAGACTGAAGTATTTGAGCAAAAATAATCTAATATAAAAGATATGCTGATTGCCCTTTCCTTTATAATGATCATAAATAATGCCATTTGCAGTTCTGAGGCTTGTTTAAATTGCTGTCAATTAATAAAAATCCAATGGGTTATCCTGTCTCTTCAGATAAACTAATTTACCAATAACAAAATCTCTTACCAGATATGGCGAATCCACTAAAGCCTACAGCAAGCACTAAGAATGAAATAGCCACTCCTTTACTGTGAGAATATCCCACCACGAGAAGAAGAGTTGCTTCCATACCAAAACCTGGGGAAATCATAAGGAAAATCAGTTTTAATTCCCTCTGAAATATTGCAAGCCTTAGGATATGGCAATATTTCATAGGAAGACACAGGCAAAACATGACCTCAGAGCAGAATATAACCTGGTATTTCTTTCATCCCTAAAACACATATTCTTGCTATCTCAAATAATCCTGATTTTATTCTTTGTATGCTAAGTTATTGTTACTTTCTGTCAATTTTAAGATGAAAATAAATACTTGTGATTTGGTTAAGTCTTTCCAGCAAGCCCTTATGGGAATGAACACTTAACCAGCTTAGGAATTTTGCAGCCCTTATCACAGCCAGGATTCAGCTCGTGTGACTTTTACTTTTCAGAAGTCAGGTTTGAAATCTCAGGCAGCTTTCTGGGCACTTTTAGTGTGAAGGGTGTTTAGATGAGGAGCCAAAATTCAGCAAATAGCTAAGAGGGCAAATTACCCCCAAAAGCTTATCTGCTGCTTCAACTGTCTCAATGCATTTTCAAATACCAAACATCCATATTGAAACTGGGAATAGGAACAACTGTGTTTATGTGTATTTAGTAGCCACATCTATAATACACAAAAAAATGCCCAAAGTATTGCTGCATAAGTACGTAAAACCATGCAGATTGTTTAGTGTATCCAGCATACTATGTGGGCATTGAGTCTGTGCAAGAAGCTTTTTTAAAAGTAGGAAGACTTACCTCCACAGTTCATTATCTTTCTCACATTAGTGGTTGAAAGAATCTGCCTGCTTCTTAAAAAGTCTGCAATTTGTCCCCCAATAGGAACAATAATTGTCATCACTAAATGTGGAACAGCAGATAAGATACCCACCTAAAATAATAATTGCAATTAGCAGAGTACAAAGCATAAGAAAATATTGTTTTTTCATTTTCTGCAGCATTCAGCAACTAATCTGACTTGAATTCCAGGCTATGTGCTAAAACTAAAAATCTTAAGTCGGTTTATTAAATGAACAAAAATGGTGATCTTAACTTGTCATTGTATTTTATGAAGGACAGACAGAATTTTTACCAATCTCTTCCATTTATAGATTGTTTCACAGTTTATATATAAGCTAATGTCTTGTTTTCCTGATTTACAGCCCCACTGCCCTTTCTTTTCAGAAAATTTATGACCAAATGCATCGAACTGAATTGTTACAGTTTTGTTGGTGGCCTGTTGGCCAAAGAATAGCCCAGCAAACCTAATGTGCTTCAACAGATTCCCTGTGGACCATCCTTGTGCACAAAAGCCATTTGCTTTACATTTCTGACCATCCCTTAGGCTTCAAATTTCACAAGGACAAAAAACATGCCTGAGAAACTCTCTGTGTAGAGAAGGTTTTCTCTACTCTTCAAATAAAGTTGTGAAATATTGTCTTTCACTGCAGTTGATATATGCACCAACTATGTTATGACAGCTACCTTCATGTTAATAGATATTTCTCCCAATCAGCCAGATATTAACTATGAGGTAACCTGTATGTTTCAAGCAAAGCAAAGCTTCTTAAAATACCTCCAGCTAAAGATGGTCCCATCTTTAAATGCAGGATGGCATTGCAGAATTGTGACAATACTCCATAATATTGCAACACTTTAGAAGCTACTCATCCAGTTGTCACTTACACGACAATTTAGTGTGACAACTCTTGCAGCATTATCTAAAGAATGCAGATGACTCAAAAGCACAAGCCCCTGTCACTTTCATAAGAAGCAAACTGGTGCTAGTAGAAAGTTTACTTACACCCTGGAGGCTTATTTACATGTATCCATATATAGATTACAGGTCTGAACCAAAATTCATATAAATTACGTGGAACCTTGGATCATCCATAGGTCTCATGTTTTGCCACTATCTCTTTCACTTCTTAAGTGACTAAGGGGAAGCAGTTCTCACCACATTAAAGGGGAATATAGGAAGCTGATAAATTATGCCATCCTTCCTAAAACTAGGTGGTCCTGCTCTGTAAAACACACATGGGAAAAAGGGACCACTTGTCAATATTTTCTTTACATCTTTGGTGGGATCCTGCATCCCTGGGGGTGTCAGGGACAGAGTGTAACGGGTCTCGTGATACCTTTCTACTACCATACATGATCTTGTTTCAAGCACTTAACTGAAGGTCTTTTTGCAGTGTGACCCTAAGGAGATAATCACTAACTCTCATTCTGCCTTCACCTTTCCCTTCCCAATCCTTTGTTATCGTTGTTACTTCACTTACATGTGCCAGTCAAGGGAACAATGACTAGAAGAGATAAGATTTGAGACTTGTAAAACAAAGATAAAGATATACTTTTCCTTCCTCCTCCTAATAAATAACACAAGTGTAGCTCTGATATTTACTTAGCTAAGATAAAAGCTTTACATTATTTTTACATACCTTGCTTATTTCAAATCCAAACACTTCCTCAAAGTAAGCAGGCTGACTAATAAGCAGCAAGTAAAAAGTCCAGCTTCTACAGAAGTTTGCAACAATTATTGCATAGACTGGCATAGATGTAAAAAATTTTCTCCATGGAGTTTTATATTTCTGAAATAAAGAAAGGGGGCTCCAGTCACCATTTTGATCATTATAAACTTCCCTTATCATTATTTTCCCTTTTTCTATCTATTTTTACTTCTACTCAAACAAGCTCATATATGCACAGCTTTCTGTATCAGAATTCCAATGACTTTAGTTAACACCAAGTACATGCATCCATGTTTGGCTGAATGAGGTTTAATTTTAAAAGAAAATCAGTAAAAATTACTACAAAATGCACAAGTGGAGAAACTCAGTGATATCTGTATCCTGACACTCATGTACAGGTACCATGGTATCAGTCATGTGAACATGAACATACTAAGTCCAAAAGATTATGCCTTTAAAAGACAATGTTGCAGTTTCTAAGGCAACAGTCAGGTTGTATACTGTAAGTGCACTGTTTCACCCAGATTGATTTTAGGCATGTCTTTTAGCATTTAAATCTTAATCTCAGCATTCTGAATAATTTCTTTTATCAAGCCTCAGCTGAACTTGCTTGGTCAATATATTTTTTTAATTTGTTTTTTTGTATTTTTAAAACTAACTGCATAATGAAAAAAAACCAAAAAGGGCAGATGGACAGAACTACAATCCTGCTGAGTCCCAGCACCTCTCCATGAGCCCAGGGTTCTGCCCATCTGTGTCGATCCAAATACTGGATCCAGATCCAGATGAGTGTTTGAAAGTCACTTCAGCAAGGTTTCAGGTTGAATTTACTCTACTGTTTATTTAAATACTGGCTCTTCTTCAAAGAAAACCAGTCCACAGATAGGCATATGCAGTAGCTTGTATATCTGTTAAATTACACTCAAGTGAGACGTGAAGATTAAGTGTGATTTAACTCAGGAGAAGCCAACCCAAAAAGATAACTTCGTACTATGGGAAGAAATTAATCACTTCCAAAAATGTTTAATTTAAAAGCAACAATAAAAGACAGAAGATATCCAGCCTGAGTTAGAATTATATGGACATCCTTTGAAATGCCTAATTTCATAGAATCATAAAATGGTTAAGGTTAGAAAATACCTTGAAGATAATTGAGTTCCAACATCCCTGCTATGAGCAGGGACACCTCACACTAGACCAGGCTGCACAAAGCCTCATCCAACCTGGCCTTAAACACCTCCAGGGAGTGGGCATCAACAACCTCCCTGGGCAACCTATTCCAGCACCTTATGACCCTAATGGTGAAGAATTTCCTCCTGATGTTGAACCTAAAACAATATTTTCAAAGCACTTATAAGAAACCATGAACACTGCTGAATTCTAGTTGGTATCAACCAAGACACTATCTCAAGAGCACCTAAAAATGTCACCTGTTAATGAATTGACTCTGTAATATTTCCAGTTTCCTATTTAAACTGGATCAAAGATTTTTTTACTACAAGACAAATGTTTTATTCCTGAGTTCAGTCAAGAACCAATGGTCTGACCAATTAGAAAACATAATGAGGAGTGGTAGTGAGGGTCAGCTAACTATGGATGGTGTAAAATTTGAGCAGATGACGTGAGGCTGAAGAACCACATTTTTTTACTTTCTTAAGTTAGTAAGCATGGTAATAGTTTCATTAAAGTTTTTCAATAGTTAAAGAAATAAGAAAGTTATTATTTAGTATTATAGGACTATTAACTGGCTAGAAAATTCTCTGAGTTCATGTTTTTTTAGCAGTTTCTGAAAACCAAACCAGAACTGGCAGAACTGAGTCAGATTATATGAGGCTTGGTAGCATGTTTCCAGCATGTTTCCCCATGATACTGGGGAATGTTCCCATGGCTGTCCCAGCATGCTCTGCTTGAATTTGAACTACAGTGACTATGAAAGTTTCAATAAAGCTGCAAAAGTAGCTGCAGGGTTTTGTTTTTTTATATACTTTGGAGTAGAAAAAGAGGTATAAATTCCATGAGTGATCTGCTAGAACTGGAACCTGTAATCTCTTCATGCAGAACAACATCCACCCAGAAATCCATCAGCAGATTTCAGATCCCTCCACTCCCATAATAGTTAAATTGTTTAAAACATGCTTTTCTGTCTTTAAAAAATAGTGTGTTTTATTATTTTTTTTCATTTCTACTTGGGTTTGTTGGGGGTTTTTTTTGGTGTTTTTATTACTATTTCATAGGAAACAAGTGTCTGAGTAATATTCTTACTTCCATTGCACCTAGGAGGTTGGCACTCTCTCCAATGCTTTCTTCTATGTATCTTCTTTCTTCATCTGTGATCGTAGGATGCTTTGCAGGACTCTCGTATGAAACCAAAAGCCAAAACATGTACCAAACTATACCAAAACTCCCTTTGAAATGGAAAGAAAGACTTGAAAAAGAAATGCACAGTAAAGCAGCAAACAAGGAAAAAGTCTGTGAATAATTCTAACAACTGTAAGTGACAGTTGTTACTGTTCTACTGAGTCATTCTAACAGCAAATCTGATCCTATACAAAACATTTGTACAAAATACTTTTAGAGTTGAAGCACAGTGGACTTTCCTTTGTTTCATTTACAGAATGATTTCACTGGAAGTGAATATTCACTGATATTTTAACATCGATTTGTACAATGCAGTGCCATGAAACAGCTTCTAGTTCATGTCACCAGACTGTAAATTAAGTTCCATTCTGCTTTAAGGGACTGTAGTTTGATTAGTGCACTAAATTTTTTACCTGTAAAATACAAGATTGGGACATTGTCTTCAACATAGCAATGCACTTCCTGAGTAGCTTCTTAAATTTCTCTATGGTTTCCCCCTAATTCACATCAGTTTTACCCTGCAGAATGAAATCCTTTGGGCCTTTTTTTTCCATCAGTGTAAGTTAAGGTCACACAACTAGTGTGAATGAAGTTATGTTGGTCTTCAGATAGAAATCAGGACATCTTAGTCAGGGCAGGTACTCTAAACTTCTAGTGGTATAAATGGAGTGACATTACATGAGCTGAGATTCTATAAATACATGTAGCGGTTTGCACTACTTGTACTAAAAGTGATGAAAGTTTCATCATGGATTAGTTTCTCTTCTTATTTAATAATGTTTCTTTCCTGTTTTCTCCTTTAAATTCAGTTCTTTCATTGTCCTTTTCTCTAGGCTCTATTTTTAGCTTTACAGACCTACTTCTCTTTTTTTTTTTTGGCCTCTTAACAATAGCCTTTGGCATTTTTAGAAAGGGTAGAGTAAGGACATACAATACTGGAGTGAGATGAGCAAAAATCCATACCATACACATAGAACACTGAAGACCACCCAGTATATTGCACTAGAATTCCAGCTAAAGGCATTGCAATAACAGCTCCTTGGCATTTTTAGAAAGGGTAGAGTAAGGACATACAATACTGGAGTGAGATGAGCAAAAATCCATACCATACACATAGAACACTGAAGACCACCCAGTATATTGCACTAGAATTCCAGCTAAAGGCATTGCAATAACAGCTCCTGCATAGGAACCTAGAAAACAAGATGTGTGGATGAAAAGGGAGAAAAGTTCAGCCTCAAAATACTTCTGTGTTGCAAACTGAAGAAAGAGAAAAGTAGAAAGTTACTTACCACAAAAGGAAGTGGTTGCTAACCTACTTCTCTCTAATGGGGGGGCCCACTTGCTCCAAATACCATGGCAGGCAGGGTAGGTGACACCCTGGGGAATGGGTGTGCCACAAGTTAGCTAATGCTGATCAATCACTCACTTCATTGTCTTTGCTTGTGTATTTTTTTTTTTCATTATTACAAACCAGAAGCTGGAAACGTTTTACATTTCTATAGTCAGGTCTGAGCACAGCCATAGAAAAACTCCCATTTCTATTAAAGTTGAAATGGGTTTTGCATCTCACTCCCGATCCTTAAAGAAGCCTTATGAGACAGATATAAAGCATAATTCTTTTTTTTTGATACCCCTCCCCTTTCCAGGAAAAAAAAAAATTGCAAAGAATTAAAAAGAATGAATCTTAATGTACAAGTACCAGAGTCAAAGGAAGGATGGAAATACAGACTCTCTGGAGTCTTTCTAATGCTGGGCTCATTTCCCCAACTCTCAGTTTTGGTGGCCTTCTAACATTCTTGGATCTAACATTTAAAGTGTAATTTAGGAAATACAGATTACTGTTCCACTGCTCTAAAATTAGAAAACAAGATCAAGAAGAGCTTAAAAATGTCATGTGAAGAGAGAATTTTTTCACTGCCTTTGTCTTTAATGAACTTTCTTGAGCCCTTAAAGCAAATAATTGGCTCGTATTAGTTGGTTTGATATTAAACCAGTTATTTTTAGGTCTCCCTTCAAAGTCAGCCTCTAATGTGACAGGAAGACTACACAGAGATCATGACATCTTGCAGTGTTGAAATTATAGAAAAATTAATATTAAATATACATTGATTTTCCACAAAATTAATGCATAAAATTATTGTGATGTGTACATAGTTATATAGAGTCATTTTTAATTTGATATTTTATTTCCTATTCAAGAAATAAAAACAATAACTTTTGTCAAACATTGATATTATCATAAATACTCAGATTATCAGTGTCAATAAATAAAAAAGGTTGTAAAATACATTCTTCTTTGAAAGAAGATTCTATAAACGATTTACTGTTCTTTTCAGACTCATTAATTTTTCAAGAAGAAAATAATGACAAAAGCATCAGATTGTCATGATTTATTTTAAGCTTTCAGATGATCCTGTTTCAGATGTTTTGCATTCACAATTGCTTTGAAATGTATCACAGAAATGAGTGGGTCGAAAACAGATTATTTATTTTGTAGTTACCCACTTGCTTCAGCTCCTCTCCTCTGTGCAGTCAGGCACACCTCTGTACACACAGATCAGTTTTCATAGGATCACAGAATGGTTTGAGTTGGAAGGGACCTTAAAGATCATCTAGTTCCAATCCCCCTGCCTGAGCAGGTTGCTCACTGGACCAGGTTGCTCCAAGCCCCATCCAACCTGCCCTTGAACACTTCCAGGAATGAGGCAGCCACAACTTCCATGGGCAACCTGTGCGAGGGTCTCACCACCCTCACAGTGGTAAAACATCAATCCGTATTTACAAATGTACACTTTAAGAACTTAATTGATGGTTACCTAACTTTCAGGCACTTTCTGCACCTTTCTTAGAGTCTTTTTATGCAGTAAAGTGCATGAGTTAAATCAGTTCCTGCCTATAGTGACACACACAATGTGTATGTGATACACACAGAAGTGTGTAGCCCTGAGGAGCAAAGAACCTATGATCACAAGCTTAAAAATCTGTATTTTGGTGAAGAAACAAACAAGAAAACAAATTTGGAAGGCAGGATCCATTTTTTTCCATCTTAAATTACGGTAAATCTCTCATTCATACTAACAAGAGCATGGTCAGGGCCTATAATAGAAACTTAATTTCTTTTTATAGATTTAATATGTGAGACTGGTCAACAAATAACTGTTGGGAATAGCACCAGTATAAGCCCTATCCAGTACATGATTTCAGAGAAACATCAATGCTAAATGCATATCTAACTGGCTTCTCAGCAAGGGAAACCTTTGCTATGTAATTTCAAAGATGAAGGAATATCAAACAGCTGTAATTCATCCACTGAAATCCATTACACCAAAAATCCTTGGTAAACTGAAAGCAATTCTTATTTCCCCTGTAAAGTTCCAATTGCTGATTAGAAGCTAACGAGCAACTCTCCCATTTAGTGGTTATTTCATAATTTTTTCCATACCTCTACAAGGCCCTGCAAGATCCTAACAAAGATGACACACCCATAGTGCACCCTGGCTGCAGACGGTATTAACATGTTGAGGGAGGATGTCAGCAGTATAGCAGCACCAAATACTCTGCAAAGGTGGAAAAAAAGAAGGAAAGGAAGGAACTTCAGTGTTGTTCCAACTGACTTGTTCCACATGTGCTCACATATCAACACAGGTGTATTTAAACATGTTATTTATGTAAGGACCAGACTGCCTGCTGGACTGGATTAGTGTCTACTTCTATCCAGTGAAATAACCCATCTGATAAAACCCAGACCAAACCTGGATATACACATCTGTTTAGCATAATTTCCTGAGGAAATACATCTTATGCCATCACAGGTATAGATCTTACTCTCCCTGTATATCCCCACTTTTCCCTTTAGTATATTTTCACATCTATTTCAACCAAATCTTATTGAATTTGCCACCCTCTAGAGAAATTAGGTCTCCAAATGGTTCACTAAAACAGGTTCCCAGGTAAAAGAGGGATTCTTGGTAGTGCTTTGTTTGTAAGAAAGTGCCCCCATGAATTCACTGCTTACAAAGCAGAGAAGAATCCACTTTTATAAATACCAAAGACACAGGCAGAATTTCAAACAGACTTTGGATTTTCTTAGACACAAGAATTAATCAATCTGGAAACACATATCCATAGAAAACAGATACTTCTTTCTGCTGGTTTTTCAGAGGTTACTCATTGAATATTGCTGATTTTTGCTCCATCAACATCCAAGAAATTTCTTCAAATAAGGCAGGTTACAAGGTCCAAATAAATGTATGAAGCAATGATTCATTTTCAGAATTCCATGGCTTTGACTAAGTTTTAATTTTATTAAATTAATATCTGTCCCTGGTAGGAGGAAGCCTCTTCTCCAACATTATTGTAATAGCATTTTTTCATGTTCATGCATTCCTTCATTGTGGAAATAATCCCTCCCCTGTCATTTTCCTTCCAGTGGAACTATGCAAAGGGATGAAGCCAGTAGCAATGATTGGCCACTTTCTCTGTACAACATTATGTAGTGCTAAGATAAATCCTGGAGATGTCTGAGCAGACAACATCACGGTATCTGATGTGGAACAGATTTGACAGAAACCTTTAACCTTGCCTGTGTTCTTCAGAAATTGGTGCAGTGCCATAAGTTAGTGAGAAACAGGACTGTGGGCTAAAGAAGCAGGAAGCAGTGCTAAGTTTCAAGATGAAAATTCTTCCCAAAGACATCTATGTTTCACATTCTCTATTTAGAGTTACAGCTGGATACGAATCTTTAAATAGCAAGCTGAGCATACTTCACTTCTATTTGACAAATACTAAAGGGCAGCTTAAAAAAAAGCTTCTTGGCACAGCAAGAAAGCTTTGTTAAATAGCTCTCAATCTGGTCTCTTCATTCTGTTCCCGGTGATCCCCATCTCATGTTAAACAAGTTCTAGCTGACTGAGCAGCACATTTCTGGCTTTGTGTGGCAGCCTTTTCAATACCCTTACTGGGACTGACTGGTGCACGTGTTTGTGTTGCACTGTGTGGACTATTTTGACTTGAATTCTGTCTTTATTCTTAATTTCTTTGTATGCAAGTTTATATTTCAAAGTCCTGTGCAGTTCATTTCTTTACATTATAATACCCCCCTTATGCTCACATAAACCACAATGGTGTCTTGGTTTTCATTTACTTTTTTGCTTTACTGATTAATGGAAAAGTTTGGGATGCTTAGAAGCCTTGTGTGTGATTTTTACCAATTCTTTGTAATAAGTAAATGTTTGTGTTAGGAATTTTTTGAAGAGCAATAGTCTGTAGCCATTCTAAAGGTTTGTAGAGAAAATCCTTATTTGCTTGGAGGCAGGAAAAAGGACTGTTCTGGTTGTAGCTTTTCCTGTTCTCTCTCTAAATCACTGTCTAGCTAAACGCCTCATCCAGTAATACAGTTTTACATTTGTGGATCAGTGTAAGTCTTTCAAAATCACTATTCCTGTTAAAATCATGCCAAGATAGAATATTTGAAATTGTGATGATAGGTAACTGTCTTTGAGGAAATTTATTCTGGTTTTTCAATTCTGTATCTGAAATCAGCTTCTGTTTGCCACAACTGAAAGCTGTGTTTCCCAGAATTGCCTGTGTTCTCATGACCACTAAAGACAAACTGTTTCCTTTGATATATTCCCTCCAGAAGAGAAAGGAAAAGGTAGATTTAGGGAATGATCAGAGAAATGCATCTTCTAGATGAAAGCCTTGACTGTCTTTACAACTTATGCAACTACCAGTAAATATTTAGTTAAGTCAAGGAGCAAATGATGAAATAATTCCATAATGTCACTTTTAAATCAGTTCTCTCTCAGAACTATGCTTTGTTGGAACAACTTTTTCAAAAACATTTACATTTTTCCCCCAGAAAAATGTATGGATTTAAGTGTAGCATAAGTTAGATTTAAATTATGATTCTTCTCAGAAATGGCCTTTTAATCCTTTTTCTGAATGCATATTCAGAATTCATATCCATGAATTTAGTGTATGCCTATGTTAGTGAGTCTGTTTCCTCCATAACTCTTAGTTAAGAGCAAATATGTCTTCCTGCATTTGCATTGCATCTCTCAGTGCACATCCACAAATATATTCAGTATTTCTGCTTCATGCTTTTTTGTTTTGTTACATTTATTTTACCTCCATAAATACTGAATTCCTCTTCCTAAAAAAGACTGTGATTTAGTTCTGGTTTATGTAGAAACTTCCCATTTTATTGTTTTAAATATCTTGTCCAACTAAATGTATTATTTAGATAGAATAAGAATAATTTTCAGCTACAGTATATATAAACATATTTGAATGCTGCTCACATTCTACTCTATTTAATTGGGAAATGGAACATTCTGATTGTTTCTAAGGCATTTCTAAGATGTTTTACTGACCCACACATCAAACCCCAGACTTAGGTTCTTTTTTTCTTGTGCTTATCTGTTTGTTATGTTTACTAAACTAATGATTTCATAATTTGTTATGCTCTTTAGTTTCATTTCTGTTTCTCAAACAATCCTCATTTGCCCCATTTTGCTGCAATGTTAACTCCAAACATGGGCTTGAAACCCTGTTTTTTCTTAAGATCCTTATATTTCAGTGGCAATGGACAGAATGTGGGGTTCAATACTTGTTTTTTGCAGTTGAAAATGGATTAAGGTCATTCTCAGACAGACATATTTCCCTATTTCAAATGAAACTTTCAGCCTGATTAGGAGTGCTCATTCTTAGCCCACACCCCATTATATTTTTTATACATGTATGTTTATTCTCTTGATATTCCAATATTATCTTGAACCAATAGGTGTGGCCCTTATAGGACCACAGTCTTAGAGCTGCCATGCCCTCTTGTGCATTTCTCCAGTACACTTTGTGCAGTGGCATGGGCTTCTGAAGAAGGCTTCATACCTCCAGCACAAACACCACTAGAGCTCATGTCTCCTACAGAGTGAGCCAAGCCTTGCTTCATGGTGTCCCTTGGGTTGAGCTCAACCTACAAAACCCATGTAGCTGTGTTGTTGAATTTTCATTCCGACATATCCATGAATATCCATTTCATGCTGGCCACACTCCAAAACATATTTTAATGCCATGGCACAAATGAAGAGCTTTAGAGTAGTAAAAGTAAACTCTGGAAAAACTACAGTATGCCAAAGAAACACAGGCAATGACATTGCCAGCATTCTCAACCCTGGCATTAGCAGGGAATTAAAATGCCCTGACATGCCTTCAGCAATCCCTAGACTTGGGGGAAAACCCATTTCTGATCTGAAATCGGAACTGTATAACTGTGGAGAGAAGAAAATAACCATATACAGAGGAAAAATTAATACACACAGTAGTAGTATGTCAAGGAGAGGGGAAAAAAAAGGTAAATCTTGGTCTTATAAGTGACCAGAATAAGCGCTGAAACAAAGAATTATGCTTTGTTTATCTGTTTCTATTTGTAGACCCAGCAGACTCCGTCCCAAAAGACAGAATCTAACATTGATCCTTGGTGTTTTACTTACATTGGCATAATATGAAGGTCATGAGCTGTGATTTGGTCCTTCTGTAATACAAGTTGTAATAACAGCAAAATCATATTTGACTAAGAGATGGAGCTGAGGAAGGAAATTACTCTGGCAATTCAGGAAAAATTCTTAGTATTCAATGAGGTTGCAGAGGGAATTAATCTGCTTGGGTTTCAAGCCAGTTGGCTCATTTTTATCTTTGGGGAAAAACTGAAGAGAAATAAATATATGTATTTTCTTCTCTGGATTTCTCATCTCTGCATCTGCTCAGCCCCACATCTACCTTTTCCAGGCAATTCATATTCCATGCTCATTTTGCACAGAAGTGTGTTATAGATTTTGCTGCTCAGCTGGAAGAAGTGCCAGCTCCAAAAGTGAGCTGAGAATAGTGGGAGCACAGACACATGCCAAATGCTCAGTGCCAGATGGGTGACATACTGGGTTACACATATGATATCTGAAGCTAAAAGGTCCTGGTTGGAAGCATCTTTTTACCCCAATGACAGGGAGTGAAAGTAAAGCTAAAATCCCTTGCACGTGAATGGGGAGGAGTCAGTTCCTCAGATGTTTGAATCCCATCTTTTTCTATTTGTACTATTTTTTAATGTAACTAGCAAAGCCCACAATTATCCATCTCTTTTTATTCTCAAAATAAGTGGTACAACTCTGTGAGAACAAAACTGTTATGGAAAACAAGTCTGTCTGTTCTAAAGCATAAGAATTACCTTCACTAAAGTTTATAATTAAAAAAAAAATTAAAATCACAGAGTAACTTTTTATGTTCAAAATAGCAACTTTTAATATTTATTTAAGGCATGAAATACTGTAGGTTTAAGTTGCTTAAATATGTGCTGTATCAATGAATTATGAATTCCCTTTCATTACATTCCAAAGTAATTGATGAATAATAAGTATTGGTCACTGACAACTACAAAACAAGGTTGCAGATATTTTAATGGATGTACACTGAGAGCTATGGAACAAAAGATCATTTCACATGATTCCATGATAAACTAAAGTAGTTTTCAATAGCTTTGTTGGAAAATTCTTTCAGGGTTATAACT